TTTTCTCACCATAATGTGAGAAAATGAATAAGGTTAATAGGTTGGCTTACTCCTGGTATCCCCACAGGTTTTCCTTTCATTCAAATAAAAAAATGCTATTTTCTGAGCCAGCCCTGATGGCCTAGTGGTTAAAGTTCGCTGCTCGCCACGTCAGTGGCCCGGGTTCGGTTCCCAGTTGTGGAACCACACCACTCCTCTCTCAGTAGCCATGCTGTGGCGGTGGCTCACGTGGAAGAGCTAGAAGGACCTAAAACTAGAATACATGGCTATGCACTGGGGCTTTGGGGAGGGGGAAAATACCGCTATTTTCTGTTTTGGGGCATCTGTTATCCTGAAATATTCAACAAAAATAGTAATCTTTTTTGGTGTTAACTATGTGCTGGCAATTTGAGAGAGAAAATACTAAAGTGAAGGTTGAAAATGATATAAATTAGACTCTTCAGTGCAAGGAATACTTAAGAAGATTTGTGATGGGGGAGGCTTGTGATTAATTTAGTGGTTAGCTGGGTTAGGCTTCTGTGGATTAAATCAAAGAGGATGTGCAGAGATTTTTATCTAGAACAGTGAGGTGACTTTGGCAGCTAATAGCCCACTAATATTTTCTACTAAAGCTTTTCTCTGGATGGGAGCAACATTGCATGTTTGCAGTCCTGCAGGTAAGAGACCCTGCTGAGTGATCCTCAGTTACCAGAAGAGATCTATAAATGTCTGCCTTTCTGTCAAGTTTTAGTAGCTAAAGATATATTTCTGGATAATCTAATACAAATATTTTCATTGTAACCCAAATTATATGGAGGATTTTATGATTTCAAAAGAGCGGGTTTTGCTTTGAGAAGCCATTTCTTAAGTATGGACTAATGAGTTGTCATGGAGATTGAATAAAATGGAGCATTTGTCCTAGTCCTAATCAACAATATTTTGACCTACAGGAAGCCAGCCATTTTTGTATGAGCCATTTCTCATCATCAAGTTTTCAAGTGCTTTTTCAGGCTTTGTCTAGTAGAAAGCATTATTTTGAAAAACAAGCATAATAGGGGAAGGGAATGTAGCGTTTAATAGTATCACAACATTTTTAAAAGTTCATGGAAACACCGCTTTTTAAACTAATGTGTAGCGCAAATTCCTTAGGAATCAGTAACACTAATGCAGCTTCTAAGTTAATGATAAGAATTGGCTATGCTTCCAATACTAATTAGTGCAGAACTGCGAGTGTTGGGTATTTACTTCCTTGCAGTCTCAGTCAAGAATTTTCATTCTCAAAACAGCAGAAATAGGTAAGTCTCAACGGACAGAGTGGGTGTAGGAGTCATGAAAAGGAAGGCAAGAAAGAGACATCAGTCTTTGCCAGGCACTAGCATCTTTCCAGACTAATTATGGAAACAAAAGAGGAAAACTTCTGATTTTACTACTTGTTAACTCTACTGAGTACCTCTTTGAGTGTCAGGTTCCTTATCTGTAAAATGAAGGATGCATTTGATTATCTCCAAGATCTCTGTCAACCCCCCAGTTTCAAAGTTTAATAGGGAAGGAGGTTGATATCTGAAGTGGGGAACTGGGGCACAGGCCTCTGGAGTCCCGCTGCCTCCCCTTCAGGACTGACGTCCCAGCTGCTCTTGAACTCTGGGGAGGTGTCAGCCCTTTTATTCTATGTCTTGGCTTCCTTTTTTCCAGCCCCTTCCCAACAACAGCTGGGAATACTGAGTGCTTCTATGACCCAAGCACTGTCACAGGTGCTGAGGCTGTGGCAGTGAACAGGACAAGCATGCTGTCCACTCTCCAGACCCTCTACAGACATGGCCCACACCAGAGCGGGACAGTAAGCAGGTTAATGCAGAAGAGAAGCATGATAAATGCTCTGAGGACCATAGATCACAACAGTTTTCTTAGCCCCCTGGAGGGAGGGAGGGAGGGAAAATAATTTTCTGGAGTTCCCTTCTATGAATTTTTGTTTTAGCATGGGCTGCCATAAAATAATACCAGGGAATGGGTGGCTTTAACAAGAGAAATTTATTTTCAGAGTTCTGGAGTCTGGAAGTCAGGGTACCAGCATAGTTGGGTTCTAGTGAGGTCCCTCTTCCTGTCTTGAAGACAGCCTCCTTCTCACTTGTCCTCACATGGTAGAGAGAGAGCAAGCTCTCTGGTGTCTCTTCTTGTAAGGGCACTAATATCATCATGAGGGCCCCATCCTCCTGACCTCATCTAAACCTAATTATCTCCTGAATTCCCCATCTCCGTATACCATCTCATTGGGGGTTAGGGCTTCTGCCTATGATTTTGGGGAGAACACAATTCAGTCCGTAGCGGATTTGTCACAGAAACCTGAGGATGACGGGGAAGCACAGTTTTTAGAATTCACCTAAGTTGTGGAGATGAAAATTAGTCTTGATGCCTTTATGGCCAAGAAAATGAGCCTTTTAGTATATATGAGCTAGTTATCTGTGTAGCCCCGGAGTTGGCTATAGATTTATTAGGAACTATTTTAGTAATTAAATTCACATAGAAGCCACAGTCTGTAAAGCCCCTCACAGGAGGCTCATCTCAGGAATCTGTAGTCTCCAGTGCGACCGACTGCTGCATGGGGAGGCCCAGTTCAGCACACTGTCATTGGCATTAAATAGGGAAGAAATGTGGGCCACCTTAACGGTGCACAGACAGCAGTTGACTTGTTTAATGTGAACTGCCTCACCGAGGACCCATGATTTGGTGACAGCAGTAGGGTAGCAGATTTTGGAGGGTGCCTGGACGTGAGGGTGCTGTGTCAGATCTGCCTGTTGGCTCTGACTTGGCAGACACTCCGTCTGCCTTTTCAATCTCCTCCCCTGGAAGTGCTTCCCTCTAGGGAGGAAGATGAGTCATATACGCAACTGTTGTGCTAGATCATTCAATAGAGGCTCAAATATTGGAACACAGGGAAAGGCAGAGTTTAGCCTGACTCAGCTGGGGATGGACAGGTGGGTGGCGGTGGGCAAGGCGAAAGCACAGGATACCAACTTTTGGTAGAATCTTGTGCACTCGAATCCTTCAGTGTGACTAGAAGAGAATGTGTAAGGGAAAGTTGTCTAAATTCCACAGCAGCTTTCCGGGTTGCTCTTTTCACTGCCTTAGAATTTAGAGACAACGTAATAATGATCTGTTTTTTCTTGGTAACCTCCCTGGCTCAGTCCCACAGTCTGTCCAGGTTCTAAATAGCAGTTCTCAACCATGTCAGATTCAATAACCTGGTCTTTAACAACTAATTGGAAATGCTTTTTTTTTTTTTTAACCCTGATTTATCCTTTATTATCCTACTGTAACAAATGCCGTCGGGGCCCTACCACCGCCCCTTGGTCCTTACCATTTTGTGCACTCTGGGCCAATTCCCAGCGGCCGGCACCTGCCCTCGCTGTGTGAGAGCGTGCGTGCGGCAGACAGGAAGGGCTCGAGGTGCTGTTCTCAGAGAACAGCCCTCTGCCGATGACTGGCAGCATTGCTGTATAAACCCCATACTCTCTTGTCCCTAGTCCCCCATAGAATTAAGCTCCACAGTGCCCAGAGTGGTTAATTGCTTGATATACCTTTTACTGGCTTTTTGCCTTTGCCCTGACTTAATGCTCCACTCCCCTGCTGGGAGTTTCCTGGGATCACTTTCCAAACAAATCATCTCAGTAGAATCCTTGTTCTGTCTGATTCTGGGGGAACCCAAACTAAGATGCTTACAGCTTCAAAAAAAATCCATATATACAGTGCCCTAGTAATAATAAAAAGGGGTAATTAAATAAATGTAGTTGATAAGACATTGTAGATTTCAATATGTAAATAGGGGATAGCACTATACCAAAAGATATGAGGAAGTAACACATGCTTGCACGTATAAAATAACCCACCAGCGTGCAGCAGCCTGGAGCACAGAATCAGATACAGCCTGATGGTGGTGCGTGGTAGTGGCGCTCTAAATGCCATGAGCAGCATTACCGTTAATGACGTGATTTTCTGAAATGAACAGCTTTAGCACACAAAACAAAGTAAATCATTTTTCAATTATGGCAGTAGCATTCCAGGAAGTTCAGTGTATATTAAAACTGTGCAAAAATGCTTTGTGTTTAATGTTAAAAAAAGAAGTTGGGTTCTGGACTCATTTTTTTTTCAGCAACCTGCAAGTCCAGCAGGATCTTTGAAAGTTATACAGGGCATGAGGTGATTTCTCATTGTGTAGAGGAACTTCTGTGAAACTTCCTCAAAGAGCAGTGAGCATGTTCCCTTTTCCCTCGTTTTCTTTTTTTTTTTCCCCTCGTTTTCTTAATCCCCATCCTGCTGGCTGAAATGTAGAAGCGATGGCTGGAGCTCCATCCACCATCTTGGAGCAGGAAGATGAGACGCACACCACACCCAGGGTGGTGGAGCAGTGAGCTGAAAGGAACCTGTTCTCTGAGAATTTCATGGAGCAAGGCTGCCCTAGCAGCCCTGGGCTGTCTTTGCCTCTGGACTTTACAGGAGCAAGATATGAACTTCTACCGTGTTAAGCCACTGTTATTTTGGGTTTCTGTTTCTTGAAACTAAACCTACCTAAAGCAATATAGAAAATAAACTCTAAGAGGACGCCTCAGCAGTAACCCGTAAGTCTTGCAGTTGTGATCAGCGCCATGAAGAGCTGTAGGTACGGCGAGAGGGAACCGGGTGCCTGAGTGGAGGCAAGCCAGCCAGGGAAGGCTCTTCCGAGCTCTGGATGGTGGTAAAATCAACTAGGCAAAGAGATGGAAAATAAACAAAAATAACATTACTCATCACTTGTTAAAACAAGAGGGGAGTAGGAGGGGTGTTTTATGAAACAGTAGTTTTCTTTCACAGTTGGCGTGGTTAATTTAGGGAGGAAGCGCCACAGGGCAGGACTGTTGTATTCAATGTGGGTCCCAGTGTGTAGCAAGTGCCTGACTTGTCCAATAAATGCTGTTGAAAATACAAAATACACTCCAGTGTGGTTCAATGAGCTGTGTGCTGTTTGTTGATTTGCTCCCTAGTTCTGAATTCCTTCTGGAAGCTTGGGCAGGGAGGATGATACAGTCAGATAAAGGAGCAGGTCTGCCAGACAAGAAGGACAAGACACTTTCCACAGCCACCAATCCAAAGAATGGTACGTGGAGTCTGGATTCCTGTTCTAGACCAGAAAGGCCTTATGCTATCGCTCCAAATATGTGATCAAATCTAGGGGTGGAAATTCCGATGGATTTGTTGTGATTCCTTTAAGGAGCTTGTCCTGCCACGTCTGTAAGTGTTAAGTCTAAGCAACTTTCAAAGAAGGAAGGAAAGAAATTAACACAGTGGATTCAGAACCTCTTTTTTTCCTACCCCACAATGTTTTCTTTGAACGTGGGATTTCACAACTTGTTCACATTCATAATATCACTGCAACAAATGGGATTTCTATGAAAACACTTGTAAAAAAGTCAAGCATTCACTAAAATCTGTTCAGTCCCTTTAATCAGCGGAATCCTGAGATTTGCATTAAAAACCTATTGGGTTGGGCCGGCCCCGTGGCTTAGCGGTTAAGTGCACGCGCTCCGCTGCTGGCGGCCCAGCTTCAGATCCCGGGCGCACACCAACGCACCGCTTCTCCGGCCATACTGAGGCCGCGTCCCACATAGAGCAACTAGAAGGATGTGCAGCTATGACATACAACTATCTACTGGGGCTTTGGGGGAAAAAAATAAATAAATAAAAAATTAAAAAGAAAAAAACCTATTGGGAATTAGAGTTTTGCAATAAGAATTTTCAGAAACGGTAAAGACAAATGACGCTCTGTTTGAATTAGAGGAGGATCCAGAAAACGACTAGGTAATTTTGGAGTAAATCAAAAGCTTATAGTAAGACTGGGGAGGGGAAAGCAATATTGCTCTCATCAAGTCTTCCGTCTGTGTACTGTGAGCTATTACTTCATCTCATGTTGGCAACAGCCCCATGGGAAAGCTAGCATGTTTTCATTTTGCCACAAAGAAACTGGCATGTTTAATAACCGTTGGGTGACTTTCTGAAGTTCACACAGTAAGTGACAGAACAGGGCTTGAAGGCAGATCTTTTGGCCTTAAATCCGGTGTCATCTCCTCTCCTCAGGCCCCTATGGCACGTCCCAGCTGAGTTATCTTTCATATCCTCACCTGCCTTTCTTTCCACCTCGCATCTCTGCCCTCTCCCTTGCCTAGGTCTCTCCCAAATCCTGAGGCTTGTGCTACAAGAGCTGAATCTGTTCTACAGCCGGGACGTGAACGGAGTGCGTCTCCTGTACGACCTCCTCAACTCCCCGTGGCTGCAGGCTCTGCTAAAGGTGAGCACTCTGGTGATCAGAATCCTTTGCTCACTGTGGGGGCAGAATCTACTTGTCCAACAGTGTCACTCGTCAGTTGGCAAGAAATTTCAACTTGGACAAAGTTCTTAGAAGCAATCCTCAGAGAAGAGCTACACAAACCTCTTAGCTTAGGAAGGAATTAACTTAGGCAGAAAAGAGTAGCTCCTTTCTTCTCCCCCAACTCCTTTCCTCCAGAGACCCCTGAGACCACAAAGCAGCCACCATAAATGGCCATTGGCAGCACCTTTAGCAGATGAAGGGTCTACAACCCTTCATCCTTGAGGCCAACTCAGAACAAACAAAAATGCTTTTAAAAAATTATTCCTCTTTGGTTTTTAACCCCGGGAAATGAGATATCTACACTTCTGTTTAGATATCTTACGTTTTTTTTTTTTACCCTGAAGATGTCTTCTTTTTTTAAATTTGGCTAAAATTGTATGCACTATACAATAGCATCTGACTAATTTGTTCTTCTGAACAAATGTTATTATTAAGAAAGATCATTTTGAAGTTATTTTTTTGGGATGTGGGTGTTTCCTTCACTTAAGTGTGAAGTGTGGTCAGCCTTATGATGCGTGCTAATATTATATTCTTTAAAATAAGAGAAAAGTGGCATCATATTTAGCATGAGCAAAGAAGTATTCCTCACAGAACTTGTTTTAAAATGTTTGATTTCCTTTCCATTCATCTGTTGTTGGCCACAGGTTTTTTTCCGTGTCTTGGCTATCGTGAATACTGTGCAGTGAGCGTGGGCACGCAGATATCTCTTCCAGATAGTGATTTCATCTCCTTCCGATATATACCCAGGAGTGGGATATACAATGGAAAAAATTATTCAGCCTTAAAAAAGAAGGAAATCTTCCCTTTTGTGACAACATGGATGGAGCTTGAGGGCATTATGCTAAGTGAAATAAGTCAGACAGAGAAAGACAAATACTGTATGATCTCACTTGTGTGTGGGATCTGAAAAAGTGGAGCTCATAGAAGCAGAGAGTTGAATGGTGGTGGCCATGCGCTCAGGGATGGGGGAAATGGGGAGATGTTGGTCAAAGGGTACAAACCTCCAACTATAAGATGAATAAGTTCTGGGGTTCTAATGTACAGCATGGTGACTATAGTTAACAATTTTGTATTGTGTACTTGAAAGTTGCTAAGAGAGTAGATCTTAAATGTTATGACAACATACACACACAAAATGGTAAATACGTGAGGTGATGGAGGTGTTAACTAACCTTATTGTGGTAATCATTTTGCAATGTATGCGTCTATCTGATAATCAACATGTTGTACACCTTAAATTTACACAATGTTATATGTCAATTATATCTCAATAAAGCTGGGGGGAGAAAAAACCACCTGATTTCTACCAGGCACTTTTTCCTCCTGGGATTAGCTAAAGCGGGGGTTTACTCACCACTGGGAGGCTGTCTGTGCTTTGTGCTCCCTGCATCAGTCCATCAGCTTCATCACACCCAGGGAGGCTTGAATGTTGGCACCGAGGTAGAGCAGGGAAGCACCGTCATCCCACATCCGATGGGGGAAGGGCTGGGCTGGGCTGGCCTCTTGGACTCATTTCTCCATCTGTTAAGAGAAGCTAGATTCCTGAAATAAGACTAAGGGCTGCACTGTGGAGCTGGGCAGGCTCTGGTGTGCTCAGCCCAGCCCTAGATCCTGGTGTGGAAGGAAATTCCCAAGAGTCAGCAGAGACAAAGTTGGAATTTTTATAAATGAACTTTTACTGGAGAATTAAGGGAGGAAAAGGAAACAAAAGACAAGAGCAGAGTACAAACAAGCGTATGTAGCATGCCTGGCCTCTCATTCAGTTCCTTTGGTGAAGCCTGAGCCATGCAGCTTCGGCCGTGAGCAGCTGCCCAGCACAGAGGTTCTTACAGGTCTCTGGCCCCAAACCCCTATTGGTTTCCCGGAAACCCCACTCTTACTTGGTTTAACAAGAGTGAAAGTTTGAATTTCTTTTTATCAATGATATTGGTTGGGGAAGATCAATTTCTGGTGGCAGCCAATACTTAAGCCTTGGAAGCATTAGGGCCACCAAACTTGAGTGCATTTCTCTTTGACACCTAGAGACACACTTATTAACGCTACCACACTCGTGCTACTCGGCTGCTGGTGCCGTTGTCCGGCCGTTTCTTCCCTTGGAGAGCCTTAAATCCAAAATGCTACAGTCATGTCATCATGATGCCGTTCCCGCTGTGCCCTTCTGCAGGTCTACGACTGCCTCCAGGAATTTAAGGAACAGAAGCTCGTGCCTGCCACACCTCATGCACAGGCATTATCCTGTGAGGTAAGGAGACTTTCGATCCACAGAACAGTAGAGCTTTAACGTGGTGCCGTTCTACTCACAGTGCTAGTTTAAATGAATTAAGACTCTAATGGAGAAGTTTGGTTAATGATTATGCATTTAATAAGTGTTTCTAATTGAGCTTTAATGGAAGGAAGAAAATTGGCCTATCTCTCCAAATCAAAACAAACAAAAAAATGACATTTTTGGTGTATATCTGTTTCTCTTTTTTCCCAAATCTTGGACTGAATGAACCCTATGTAAACAGGGTGATGCTGTTATGCTAATGATTCCTGAATTCATATCTCTAGCTGGGCTCTTTCCCTGAACTCCAGAGTCTCATATCCATCTGTCTCCTCCCCATCTTACTTAGAGGGATGTTCAGTGGGCCCCTCAAACTTGCGCTGTCCCAGACGGACAGCCACTCCTCTCCCAGCCTTTTCTCTCTCGGTGATGACATCTTGTTCTTGCAGTGCTCAGGCCAAAACTCTTTGGGGTCGGCTTTGACTTTCTCTTTCTTTCACACCTCACACCCAATCTGTCAGCTCTAGTTTCAAAATGTATCCAGAATCTCACCGCCTCCACTATAGCACCTGATGTGAACCACCACCACCTCCTGCACAGACAGCTGCAGCGTAGCCTCCTGCCCCTTCCCGGCCTCCTGCTTCTTCCCCGGTCCCTGTAGTCTATTCCCAGCACAGCAGCTGGAGAGACCCCTTTAAAGGCCAGTCAAATCACGTCACTCTCTGCTCAGGTCCTGCCAGAGACGTCCCATCTCAGGGTAAACATGAAAGTTCTTACAGAGCCGGACATAGTGTGGCCCCACCACCTCTCTGGCATGCACTCTCTGCTCTCACTTTCTCCCTCTGCTCCAGCCAGATGAACCCCTGGGACGTCTGGTCCGTGTGCTCCTGCAGCCGCCCTCGCCCTCGCTCTCTCTACGTCAGGAACGCTCCTGTCTGTACAGCCCCATGACTGGCTTCCTCGTCTCCTTCGTCTCCTCTCAGACGTCACCTTCTCCCTGAGGCTTTCCCTGTCACCCCAGCTAAGATTGCAGTCCCCCCAGAGCACTCCCTATCCACCTGCCCTGCTTTATTTTTCTTTTTAACTCTTCTCACCATCAAATAAAACTATCTCTTTCACATACCTATTTTATTTGTTGTTGGTGTCTCCTCACTAGAATGGGGATTTTTGTCCAACTATTCACTGCTGTATTTGCATCACTCACAACAGTGCATAGCACACGGTAGATGTTCAATAAATGTTTGCTGAATGGATGAATAAACGTAATCCACTTTATTATTATTTATTGCCCAAACCATATTAAAAGAAATAGAAAAAAAAGAAGAAGAAAACGTACCCTCAATTCCAGTGATCAACAACTCACATTGTTCTCAGTCGTCTACAGGAAAACACATGTGATATTTTATTCAGTTGTGATCCTAGTGAGTGGAGGTAAAGCATAGTAAACTGCTGGCTTTCATTAATGATGCTTGACTGCTGAAGATTCTTGGGGCTCATTAAAGGTCTTATATCCTGTCAGGAAGCAGGTCTACACCTAAATCACAGGAGAGAGATCGGAATTTATTCTGTTTAGCACTTTTTTATTGCAACAAACATTAAAATTGCTAATCAAATAAGAAGGCCTAAAATGCAAATTGTGATTCCTGTTTTTCCAGTTGAAGAATGGGGCATCCCGTGGGATTAAGCTACCTGAGTTCTTCAGGTATGCGAGCCTGTACCTGGGGAACTCAGATCCCTTACCTCGCCCATCAAGATTCGTGTCAGCAAACAGCTGTCGTAGAGCTGCTGGAGGGGAGTTGCCTTGGTGCATGTGATGGTACAAAACGATGTTAGCTTTTCTTCCACGCCTGTGGTGTGCCAGGACTGGGGCACTGGGGTCTGGATCTACCTGCTGTAGTAAAGTTTAAAGAATAAGGAAGGATCCCAGGCCCTGACTTGAAAGATGAGAAAGAAGGCTTTAATAATAGCTTTCTTAGGTCAATATCATGGTCAGAATATCTGTGATCCAGCCTGGGTGAGGTTAACTAACTGATGAAGATTCTAAAAGATGTCACAATATATGCTTTTCCACCAACCAGGTAGTGGAGATATTACGTGAAACTCCTAATTCCCCTGACATCCAAGAGCTGAGACACATCCTCCAGGCTCCACACTTTAAGGCAAGTGCCTGCTGAAATAGCCACGATACCCCCGTCTGGCACACAGACAGTGGGGAAGAAGAAAGAAATGTGATAGAAAATGTGCTCTCTGAACAGATGTTGTGTGATTGTACATGGGTGACCAACAGATTGTATTTAAAGACGTGGGGCTCAGAAGTGACTGGCTCAGTGTTGTCAGTCGTGGAGCCAAGCTCGCCATATTTATGAGGTGGCATCCAGCACTGTCTATGGTGTCCTGTTTTCCCCTGCAAAGCCATTGTCCCTCTAAAATTCTGGGAGGCAATCAGGGTTGCCTGATTCCCAAGTTCCTCTCCAACTTGGGAATATTTTAAGTTTTGGATAAAGTGTGTGAAGGTATTTGGGAAATACTGTACAGTGATGATTGGCTCTGTGAGGGAGTACATGAAGAACACTTGATTGCAGAACAGAAACCTATCTCATGCTACCCATAGAGCTTGAGATCAATTTATCAACAGATTAGAACTTCAAGAGAAAGTCTGCATTTGGAGCAATGGAATTTACGAGTCAAAAATTTTATTCCACAAGATAACCCTGGAGAATTTTCTGGCTTCCAACAGAGTTCTATCCACCAGTCTCAGGTGGGGCTGTAGAATGACGACTTGCCACCCCATGACTTGAAAATTTAACACAGTCGCCATTAGAAGGAACTCTGGGTTCATACCCTACCTCAGGGAACTGCTTTTCCTCGTGCTCTTCCACACAGGCCCTTGGGAGTCACTGACAAACGAGACCAGCAACATGTTTTGGTTACTGCCTCCCATTCTGCCTTAATTAGGGAAAATGTTACAAAAATTCTTTTGTAATTCGAGCATATGGAATCCCCATGGATTCCATGGGTTTCTAGGAAACGAGAAAGCGACAGAATACATTTTAGCAGAAATGCAATGATATATTATGTGTAGTTTAGCCTCTCTGTGCCTCGTTTCTTTGTCTGTAAAATGGAGACAGTAAATGTACCTGCCTCCCACGTATTGTGAAGATTGAGTTAATCCAGATGAAATGCTGAGAACTGTGCCTGGCGTGGACGTGTTGGTGGTGGTGGTTGTGTATCTTACATAGCACTGGGTCACCATCTTCCAGACGGGCGTGTCCTCTGCCTGACACTTGTTCTCCTGTTCCTTCTCTGCTCGCAGGCCTTGCTCAGTGCCCATGACACGGTGGCTCAGAAAGATTTTGAACCCCTTCTCCCCCCACTGCCAGACAACATCCCTGAGAGCGAGGAAGCAATGAGGATTGTCTGTTTGGTGAAAAACCAACAGCCCCTGGTAAGGAAACCATTTCATCTTTTCATTTAGAATTATACCATGGTTAATTGTGAACTAAGGCATCTCTAGTAGTTACTTGGGCAATAGTCTTGTCTGTGGTCACAGATAGAGTCTGACGCATTCAGAAAATGTGAGGGGAGTCCATGATAATAATGGCTAAACTCGTCTTAACTACTTTTACCTGTGTTTTCAAACACATTACCTATTGTAATATTTTCACTAGGAAAGATTTCTGCTTAGTGTTTTTCTTTTTTGAAAGAGCTGTGAGAAATAAGACATATATTTTTTAATTTTATTATTTGGTTTTTTGACATGAACATATATTTCACTCAATTCCGATGTATTTGCCTAAGTTTTTTCCTCTATTAATGGGAAGGCATTAATTTGATTTTCTAAGAATTTTCTACAAATAGTCCCTTTGATTAGGTTGTAATTGTGGGAGCTTTCTTTTCTCTTTGGAAGGATCTAAATATTCTTTTATGTCTATGTGGTTGAATAGAGACCTTGGGAGGCCAAGGTTGAATGGCCTCTCCTGTTCCACGGCATGGTATGGTCCTGGTTGGTATGAATACCCTCGTCTGAAAGACCAGAGCTACATTGAGGGAAGCCACCAGAAAAACGGTCATGGTGGGTAAAAGAGAGATCCCATTGTACTGTCTCCCCAGGGAGCCACAATCAAGCGCCACGAGATGACAGGGGACATCCTGGTGGCCAGGGTCATCCACGGCGGGCTGGTCGAGAGGAGTGGTAAGCAGGAGCAGCAGAGTACAAGTGTCACCAGAAAAATAGGAAACTCTGGAAATGTTCAGTCTTCTTCCCAGGGAAACCCCTGTTTCTTAACTAAGGTCAGGGCTTGAGTAAGTTCCGCTGCTTGGTTACTAAGAAGGAAGGAATAAATGTTCCAGAGAAATCCTGTTCCCCTCGTCCACGGAGTCCCTCCCATTGTGGGCACTATGTTAATGTTCTCTTAGTTTACATTCTCGTGGCATCCTAATACGGTGAGTATTAGGCCATTTTATAGATGAGGAAACTGAGGCTCAAAGAGATTAAGAACTAACTAGCTCGAGGTCACAGTTTGAGTCAGGGTTCGAGTCCAGGTCGGCCTCACTCTATATTCCCAACTTTCACTCCTCACTTGGTCCTCTGCTTTCAAAAAGGCCCGGCCCTTCCCCAACTTGAAAAGCCTTTGCTTGTCCTTACTACCAGTGAACCCATTTCCGTCCTTTCCCTGCTGCGCTTCTGAAACGAGCGGTTCTGGACCTGCTGCCCTGTGTCCTCACTGCCCATCACCCTGGAACCTGGCCCAGGGGCACCCCAACATTCTTAGAGTAATTACCCCAAGGATTTCCTCGGTGCTAAGTCTGCTGGCCCTTCCTTTGGCCCCAGTTTTATTTTTATTTCTCTAGCACATTTGATGTCATTGACCAGAACTTTCTCGAAGTTTTCATCATCCTTGGTTTCTGTCCCATGACGTCATTCTGTGTCTTGTCTTCGCTCTCTGACGGCTCACTCTTTCTCTCACATTTCTCAAGGCTTGACCTTAACCCCAAATTTCTCCACATTTTCTCTTTTGAAGAATGCCCTCCCCTTTCCTTTTCGTTTACCATTTACTCGTGGCCCTAACATCTTTACTTTTATCGTCTTACCAGTGTGCCAGTTCCATTTTACATCAGATTAGCAAAAATAAAAATATCACCATCACCCAGTGTTAACACCCAGTGTTGGCAAAAATGTGGAAAATGCAATTCTCCTGCACTTTGATGGTGGCAGAAATAGGAATAACCAGTTTGCTTTATTATTATTATTTCACGATAAATTTTAAAACGTTAGAGCATGCTGTGTTAGCGAGTTTGAGAAATAGCTTTGGGATAACTACCTCTATTTTTTGCCAATTTCTGTGTTCCCTTCTTTGTTTTGTGTTTTTGTTGGCTCAGGGTTGTTATACGCTGGAGACAAACTGGTAGAAGTGAATGGAGTCTCAGTCGAGGGATTGGACCCTGAGCAAGTGATCCACATTCTGGTAACAGTCTCCTCTTTGCCTTCTTCATGACTCAGCGCAACGTCACGGCTGAACTGGGCCTGTCCAGCCCACGGTGCACACTGTAATGAGGGGGTTTGGTCCCTCTCGGCATCTTCCTTTCTCTAGGTCCCCAGACCTTGTCTGTTTCTGTGTAGCTTGTCCCCTTCCTTCCCGTTCCCCCCAGAAGATCTGGTCCCTACTGGGAGCCTTCCCTTCCCAAGCTGCTCTTTCAGCCTCAGGAAGACTGACAGGTTCCCCAGCACAGGTCCCTCATCACCTGGGTTGCTCCATTGGAAACTGAGCCCAGGGTGGGCAGAGTGAGACTTTGGAGGAGAGTCTGAGCCTGAGCAAATGCTCCCCTTACATTTTTAAGCAGCTAAAATGCACTTAACAGCTTCCTTGAGGCAGCTTTGGGGTAGGAATGAAGCCATCAGAAGGCAGCATACGGGGAGGGGGACATCCTTGCTGGCCCTGCCACTGTCCTTGGTGGTTGGAACTGGGGATTTATGACCTGATTATATGAGCCTTTGGTCTCTTTTAGGTCCTCATTCTCACCCTTCAAACCATGGCCTGAATCACAGTCCACTTGTCAATAGCCGAGTGGTATGCCCTGCTCATCTCCGCCATGCACACCCAAGTGTGGGGTCTACGCTTGATTACTATATTGTATAGACTAGTGGTTCTCAGACTGGGTTCCTGGGGGAACCTCTCTGTTTTCATAGATGTGCCTCAGGGACTGACATGAGGGGTGGTATTATAAGGAATCTACCAAGCATCTAAATATTTTGCACATCACTGCTGCAAGATTCTGAGTGGTATACAAGATACTGCAAAGGGAGCTTAAAGACTGCCCGTCAGACACACACGCCTCTACCTCAGCCTTTTGGTGCCAGCCGTGGAGCTGCCAGGACAGTGGGATTGTGCAGTTCCTAAGAGTGAGTTCAAGGTCTTGCTAATCTCTGGATCTGCAATGCCTATCTCTGTGTATGTGACAGGGGGATTCTTACCGCCCCATCAGGTTAAGAACTTCTCTGTCTCCTCCAGATATTTGAGGGCCCCCCATCCCACCATTAGCTTGGAAACTTGTCAGTCCCCCTAGAAGACTTGGGAGCCTCTCATCTTCCCCATCAGACTGCGCTGCCTGGTGCAGAAATAGGTGTTTAGGAAATAATTGCTGACGGAGGTATGAGGAGGGAAAGTCAGACCAAGAGCTTATCTCCTTCCACGGTGCCTGTGGGAAGAAGACCTTGCTGAGTGGGGTGGTCCTGGTGGCAGCGAGATGGAGGGTCCCTGGGAGAGACCAGGCCTCAGTGTGAGTTTTAGCAGACCAGAGACCCTGGAACCCTGCAGCAGGGCAGAGCTAAATTTCTTCCTAATTTCTACTTCTGGGTGGTGATATTTAGCAGTTGAACCATTGAAAACGCCCCTGTGGGAGATGCCACTGTTAGACCTGGACACACTGAGTTGTAGCTCCATCTGCCAGACCCTGTTAACCCAGTGGACTCTCTGATTTGTCCTTCTTCCCGCTCTGACGTTTTCTAGGCCATGTCCCGTGGCACAATCATGTTCAAGGTGGTTCCGGTTTCTGAGCCTCCTGTTAATTGCCAGAAGATGGTAAGAATTTACTGAGCCTTCATATCACACACAGTAAATCCTCAAATAACAGTGACAGTGACTAAATCCTTTGTATCACAGTGCTATCCTCTATAATGTGTTGAACAGTTGTTCAATCCTGTATTGCGTATTTTTCAATACTGATAACATGAGAGGCAAATCAATAAATGAATACCACAAGAGGAGATGGGGTACCAAAAAGTTAAGGAGTAACACCAAGAATGGTGAACATTTGAGCAAAAACTTCTTAGAGCTAAAAGAACGTGTTTTTTTTTTTTTTTTTTTTTATGGCTCTGAGACTCAGTTCAAGGGGGAAGTTTTTGTTTTTGGTGAGATTGGAGAGGAAAGTCAGGAACAGGAGGTGGAGGAGTGGGAGAAATGGTTTTAAGTCTTGACAGCAGTGGAAAAGGGCTCTTCTGATGGTTCCATTGTGCACCTCCTGTCAGATGTATGTTCGTGCCATGACTGAGTACTGGCCCCAGGAGGACCCCGCCATCCCCTGCATGGACGCCGGGTTGCCTTTCCAGAAGGGGGACATCCTCCAGATTGTGGACCAGAATGATGCCCTCTGGTGGCAAGCCCGGAAAATCTCAGACCTTGGTACCTGTGCTGGCTTAATCCCATCTAACCAGCTTCTGAAGAGGTAAAAAAAGTCATCACTCGGGGACTCAGGACTGAGTCATCAGGAAACAAAATGTTTTCTCAGGCTTCTGTTATTGTAGTTAAGAGGAAATAGAGACAAGCAGATGGGCGAACACACACTGGTTTATAAATCCAAATGTCAGCTTGTCAATATGTCCTAAGCATCTTAAATGCCAAGGCGACCAGATTATTCGTATCAGCTAGAAAAGAGAGAAAAGTACTTGGGAAACTGAATTAAACTTTAAAAGGTGGTTCTAACTCCCTCTGTTAATCTTTCAAGGCTGAGTTGAAACCTCAGTTACGGAATCTCAACCCACCACGCTCACCCTTGTGCTACTGAGGTCCAGTCCAAGGAAGTGAGTAAAGATAGAAAGAAGATAGAAAGAGATCCAAGGCTCAGCCAATGTTAAGAGATCACGGGGCCGGCTCCGTGGCTTAGCGGTTAAGTGAGCGCGCTCTGATGCTGGCGGCCCGGGTTCGGATCCCGGGCATGCCCCAAGGCACCACTTCTCCGTCCAACGGGAGGCCGAGTCCCACGTACAGCAACTAGAAGGATGTGAACCTATGACATACAACTATCTACTGGGGCTTTGGGGGGAAAAATGAATAAATAAAATCTTTAAAAAAAAAAAAAAAGAGATCACGAAGCAGAAAAGAAACCAGCAAAGGAGATTGAGAAGAAATGACCAATGAGGCAGGATGAAAATCAAGACAGTATAGTGTCCTGATCAGCTGTCAGCCGCTGCTGAGAGGACTGAGAACTGACACTGGATTTCTCAATGCAGCTCATCAGTGATCTTGATAGAAGCAATTTCACTGGAGGGGTGGAGCCAAAATCTTAGTAGAATGGGTTCTGAACAAACTGATGACAATGAGCATGGAAAACTCCTTGAGACATTTTGGTATAAAGCAGAGCAGAGCAGTGGAAAAATAGCGAGAGGGGAAAGTGCAGGTCGAGACAACTTTCTTAGAGGGGGTAAATAATGCTAGTGGGAATGGTCCAGTGAGAGGGAAAATTGTTATGCTTCAGGAGCAAAGAAGAGAACTGCTGTCATCGATGTCCTTGAGCTGGCAGAAGGAGATATGATCTAATATACAAGTAAAAGGGTAGGCTTTATGTAGGATCATAACCAGTTCACCCACAGTAATAGTAACAGCAGAGAATCTGGAGCATGTGGCCACAGTTGAGGGTGGGAGATATGGGGGGAGCTTGTGGAAGTTCTCTTCCAATCACTCATATCCTCAGCGAAATAAGAAGCAATGTCATAAACTGAGAGTGAGGGTGGGTACAGAGGGATTGGGAAGGAGAGAGGAAAAAGCTTGAAAAGTTTCTATGAGGACTGCAGAGCAAATGGATTAGGTAAATATAGTAGGATCGGCATTAAGGGTCCTCTTAAAATTAAAAGTCATAAATATGAAGCGATTCTGGTCAGCTTCCTGGGGGCAGGTCCAGATTAGACAGAGAGTTGGACTTGACAGTAAATCAAGAGAAGGCCAAGGGATTGATTACAGTGAAGGGCCGTGGCATTTAAGCTTGTGAAGGAGGGAGGTGAGGGGTAGGGGTCATTGGAAAGGAAATAAGATCAACGGATTCTAGGTCCCAATGGCATCAACAGATTATTGGGGTTGGGAAGACAGGAGGTGTTGGGAGAAAAGAGGGATGCTGTAAATTGAAATTATGGAGAGATTGCTGTACTCGTACTGAGAAGGTCTAGGGTGTGTCGTGGGAGGCAGTGGCTGAGGCAGAATGCGGGAAGGTCACTGGAAGAGAGGAGATCAGGGACCCAGGAGGCCAGGATGTTGGGAGGGGCATTTATATGCCTAATGAAATGATCGAAATTTATGATAGAACAGTGTTGAGGGCATGAGGGTGAGCAGGAATAATCTGATGGCTACCAGAAGAGTGAGAGAATGATATTCCAAGTGAGGGCCTCTAGGGAAGAAGGAGAATGGTCTGGAGATGGCGAGGACAAGCGAGGGCACAGACCAGCTCCAGGCCAGTGGAGTGAAGGCCATGCTGGCCCAGCTAACAGAGCCCGTTACAGGTACCTCTTCTCACATCCACAGTCAGTGAGTCAGGGTGGCAACCTGACATCAGCCATCAGGAGAAAACTGACACTAGAGAAATCAGCAGAAGCCACACATCAGGGCTGCCCTTCCCCTGGAGCTGGTTTACCAGCTCACCACTGGGAGTGGGAGAAGAGATAGCCACCCCTTGAAAGGGAGCAGTGACCTCAGGGAGACCCGGGTGTTAGTTAGGGCAAGAAAGTGGAGGGCTCACTCAGAGAAGAGGCTGAGGTCTGAGATATTCGCTGAAGATTTACCGTGAGTCCCCGAGGGGGTGTGGAGGGCTTCAGGGAACGGGGTGGACAGAGCCTTATAGGGATTAAAGTGCAGCGGAGAAGGATGACCTGAGCTTGGGGGCTGACGCGAACAGGGATAGCGGCCTAATGAGATTAGTCCTTCCGGTGTCAGGGCAGAAAGTGGCAAGGAGGCTAGGGTGGGGGTCTTGCAAGGAGCACACAGAAATGACAGGTTCACTGGATTGGTGCACAAATAAAGGACAGTAGAAGGAACTGAAATTCTTGTGGCTCTAAAGAGACTGCAGAGCATCAACAGCGTGGGAGGGAAACTGGAGCGTGCCACGGAAATTCTGAGACCAGCACGAGCAGGCTGACAGGCAGAGAGGCGGGGGTCCGTGGCTCGTTACTGGGGCTCTGTGGCTTGTGAACTAGCGGTCATGAGCCGGATTTTCACTCTCAGTCAGTGATGCTGTGAGAAGATCCTGTGAGGCAGGAAAAAATGGTAAGAAAGTTTGTGTTTTTGGAGAATGTATTTGACAATGTGTTTGGAGAAGAAATCTCCCTTTTTACCTGGGTGGAGGCAGCAGAATTCTAGGAAACATTCTGGCCTGGATCTGTTTCATCTGGGTTAACCCGAGTCGATTTTTTTTTCTCATGGTGTATTTCTTTTTGCATAGGAAGCAACGGGAGTTCTGGTGGTCTCAGCCATACCAGCCTCACACCCAAGTCAAATCAAGCATATGTGAGTGTGCTGACACCTCAGACCAGCGTGTGCCTCGTGGGGAAGCCTGCTCCCTCTCCCAGGCTGGCTTCCTGCCCTGGAGAGGATCTTTAAATGTCCCCACTGCCCCATATAACCTCCTGGCAGCTGTCTGAAATCCTACCATAGATGTTCGTTTCTTTGGATTTAGAAGAGTTTTCAGTTTATGAAAATGCAAATATTCTCGTGTTGGAGACACTTTCAGTGATGGCTCCCCAACTTGAAGTCCTCCCAGTCCCTGCAGCTAGCATATACATTATAATATACTGGCGAGCAGGGCAGTATATGTACTGCACACAGACCATCTGGGTTCTCTTTAGCGGGGCTAAATGTCACACTGTTCAGAAGCTCTGGTTAACAGCTGTGTGTGCCTCTGATGAATAAACATGGGACTGAATTGCTACTTAAGGAATGTAGTTTGTTTGCTGGACAGTATTATGCAAATTGCAGTGGGGGAATGGTTAGGAAAGGCATCCACGGTGGCGAATGCTTGTGACGGGCTTCCTGCCTTCATAAAGGGCGCTGTGGCTTTCGGGGAGAGGGGGGGCATGTAGAGGAGGCTGGAAGGGCGCTAACGTAGACAACAGTATCAACAGATTTGCCATGGCAAGTCCTCACCCACTTTATCTCTCACTGCTCTAAGCTGAAAATTATTTTCTCTTTTATTTTTCTCTTCAAAAGATATGATGACAACTATAGAGACATTTCTGAAAGAAAACACTCTTACAATTCCTCCACACTGACAGTATTTTCATACTACCTTCCAGTTATGGAAACACATTTTACATGGTGACAGTAACAGCTGCAATACCACTTGTTATCTTTTTTTAACTTAACATTTTATCAGAAACATTTCTCATGATATAATCTTCATAGAGACATTTTAGTTATTTCTCCTGTGTTTTGAAAAAGTTTGTTTAGCAAATCAGATTGAAGTACTTCTTTAACTCATTTTCCTATTTCATTTTTCAAAGGCACATGGAAATGGTAATTAAGCTTCTAATCAGTATCTGATAACTAGTATGACCACTGGTTGATATTTAATTTGCTCTTGTAGCCTAAGTGCTATTTATATGAGACTTTTGGAAAAGTCCATGAAAATAGATTGCAGCCCTATATTATTATCCTTACAAATCTCTAAGTCCGGGAACCCCAGAGTTGGAGCCCCTGACTTAAAGGGTCACCTCTCACAGGGATGTTTCTGATGGAGCACAGTCATTTTCTAAACTATTAGGTTTTAATTGTTGTACATGATGCTGCAATAAATGTTATTTTGTATCTTTCTGCTCTGCGTAAATGTTACCATAGGAAAAACATCTCAGGAGCAGGTTACTGACTCAAGAGGTATTGGCAATTTTATTAATTGAGAGTTATTGAAAAAAAAGAGTTACTGAAAAATTCCAGGCCTACGTTAGTTTACAGATGGTTATTAAAAAGTTATTTACAGAAGATGCATTTATAGTTGGCATCATTCTTTCTGTCCCTTCCTCCCTTCCTTCTCTCTCTCTCTCCTTTCTCTCTTTCTCTCTCTCTCTTTCTTCTTTCTTTCCTTTCTTCCATTCAAGATTTGAGTTCATAAAATATGCAGAATAAGCACGTTAATTCAGAAATCAGTAGAATGCAACCCTTATAGATCTTATTGGGATAGAAGGGAGTAGGACTCACCAGAAGCAAGTAGATCCATTCCCAACAAGGCTCATAAACGTATCCGTTTCTATAGGATATTCCCTTATCATTTTGTTACTAAATCTCCACCGAATTTCTATAGAATAATTTTGGCACTTTGCTTTCCTTACTGTAAGTAAATTCATTTGAGAAACTACAGCATAAACTATTGTGCCGTCTCTCTCTCTTCTTTTTCTTTTTTCTTTTTTTTCCCTACTTCATTCATCTGTACCCAGCGATTTCCATGGAAGAAGGTAAGAAATAGTATTTGGAAAAAAACCTCATCTCCAAAGTCTCCTAGAAATTTCCTGTAGTTTTCTGAATTCACTTCAATTTAGTTCAGCTACTTATTAAGCTCTTCCTATGTACCTTATGGTATGCTAGTCACTAATAGACTAATTTATAAAAGATGTCAGTCAAAAGAACGCACACACAGTGTAATTGTCCTAACACTGAGAGGAATAAAAGAAAAGAGAGCCAATATCTATATGCAGCCCAGAGTCTAACACAGCACATGGTCAGAACTCAATAAAAGTTGTGAAACTGATCTGCTGTTTTATTTCAACTGCTTTGCACGCAATGTCTAAAAATAACCCTGTAAGGAAATTGTTATTCCCCTTTTATGGATGAAAGGATTGAGATTCAGAGAAGGTAAGAACATTGTCAGAAGTTGCAAGCAGTGTAGTCTGGATTGAAGTTTCTGTGTGTCTGAAGGGCCCCGCACCAGGGGCAAATGGGACCTCTGGTTATTACCTCTCTCCTTCTCCAGGTCCAGACACCCAGATACCTCATAATGATGTCTCACACACACACACTCTTACATACTCACACACACTCACTCACAAAATCTAGAAAGCAAGATGCTGTCTGTCTGCTTGTGCAGATGGTGAGAGAAGAGAGAAGAGCAATCTCCTTGGTCCCCACCCACATTTCACCCCTGAAATTGGCAAGGGGAAGGCAGGAAGGGAGCATGGGCAGGTCTTTGGAAAGGGCTGGGTCTCTGTGGTCTTGGTGGGTAACAAGGCTGCTGTCAGTCTGTAAGGAGACACCACAGATGGGGGGCTTAAACAACAGATACTTATTTATCATAGTTCTGGAGGCTAGTAGTCCAAGATCCAGGTTCTGGAAAGGTTGGTTTCTGGGGAGACTTTTCTACCCGGCTTGCAGACAGCTGCCTTCTCTGTGTGCTCCCACGGCCTTCCCCCTGTGAATGTGGGGCAGGGGGAAGTGGGGAGAAGAGAGAGGGAGGAAGAGAGAGAGAGAGAGAGAGAGAGAGAGAATCAGTCTGGTGTCTTTTCTTCTTATAAGGCCACCAGTCCTTTTGGCTCAGGTCCCCACTTTATGACCTCATTTAACCTTAGTTACCTCCTTAAAGGCCCCATCTCCAAATACAGTCATACTAGGGGCTAGGGCTTCAACATATGAATTTTGGGAGGATACACTTCAGTCCTTAGTGCTCACCCTAGCCCAGTGTGTGGAATTGTTGATTTTGAGAGAGCAAATCAGTGGCTCTCTGAGAACCCAGAGTTACATATTAGAAAAATCAGGGCTTCTCGTGCTGTTACTCACCCCTGGTCTCTGTAAAACAGGAATGACAATTGTAGATTTTGTTTGCTTTAAAAAAAAAACAAAACCTATAGTTATGTCCTAGGAACTAATGAATTCTCTGTTGTTACAAATTACTGATCTGGAAAATAATCTCTAAATGCATCTAAGGAATTGAATGCCTGCTGAAAATCTCAGCCATGTGACTTGTTTATCTGTGTTCCTATCTCTGTAAAACAGTGTTATTTCATACAATTTTTCATATTGCACATTTTACTTAAAAAACATTAATTAATGACGTGGTCCTTAAGGAGGTGGTGACAAGTTTATTATATTACAGATTATTATACAGGCTATAATTTGCACTTTTGAAATATGTGTAAGACCTATTTATTAAACTACTATTTATTGGTCACCTGAGAAGTGCTGGGCACTGTGTGAGGCACAAGATGCACAGTGTTATGGGGCCGGCCCGGTGGCGCAAGCGGTTAAGTGCGCGCGCTCCGCTGCGGCGGCCCGGGGTTCGCTGGTTCGGATCCTGGGCGCGCACCGACGCAC